TGCAGAGACCTGACTTGCTTCATAACGCCGTTTGGACGTATGCGGTACATTCGCTGTCCGATGGGCCTGGTCAGCGCCATGGACGTCTACAATCGGCGCGGGGATGAGGCCCTGGGTGACATACCCCAGACGGTGAAGATTGTGGACGATGTCCTGACATACGACGCGTCGTACAGAGAGCACCTGGCCCACGTCATCACCGTACTGCAGCGCTGTGACGCCTGGGGTATCACCCTGAACCCAAAGAAGTTCCAGTTCGCTCGTCATGCGCTGGACTTCTGTGGCTATCACGTCACCGAAAACGGCTACACCGTGGATGACAGCAAGCTGAGGGCGGTGGCAGAGTTCCCGCGCCCGGAAAACGTGACTGACCTCAGGTCGTTCATGGGGCTCACTAACCAGCTGAGCGGGTTCTCAGCGGACCTCGCCAGCGTGGCTCAGCCTCTGCGAGATCTCCTGAAGCAAAAAACGGTGTGGAACTGGACTGCACAGCAAGAAGAGGCCTTCCAAGCTGTGAAGAAGGCGCTGGTCGCGCCACCTATCATGGCTTTCTTCGACCCGCACGCACCTACAGCACTGCATACCGACGCCGCCCGCACCCGCGGCCTCGGATTCGTGCTCATGCAACGACACGGAGACAAATGGGTCATGATCCAGTGTGGATCCCGTTTCCTAACGGATACAGAAACGCGGTACTCAGTGATTGAAGTGGAGTGTCTGGCAGTTCTGTGGGCATGCCGCAAGTGTCACTCGTATCTGGCCGGTCTCCCACACTTTGATCTGGTGGTGGACCACCGGCCACTGATCCCCATACAGAACTCCAAGCGGCTGACGGAAATTGACAACCCACGTCTCCAGCGCCTGCGGGAGAAGCTGTCTCCGTACAGTTTCACAGCTAACTGGCACAAAGGTGTGGAACACTGTGCACCTGATGCTCTGTCTCGGGCGCCCGTCAGCGATCCGGGGCTGGAAGATGAGGTCGCCGAGGATGCCGAGGATGCGCTGCACGCAGCTGTAGTGGCGGCTCTGACGGCGACCTGTGAAGAAGGCGTGCAGATCGCGCCACTGCAAGACCGCACGCTGGATGCTGTCCGGGCGGCTGCGGCCCGAGATCCAGAGTACACGACGCTGCGGGACACCATACTGGATGGATTTCCGTCACAGCGGTTCGAAGTACCTCCCTCGGTCCGCCCATACTGGGGCATCCGTGACATGTTGGCCGTGGACGACGATTTAGTAGTGTATGGTCCTCGGCTCATCATTCCGGTCAGCCTACGCAGAGAAGTTCTGGCTGGACTACATGACGCGCACCAGGGAATAGAGAAGACGAAACGGCGGGCACGACAGAGCGTGTTCTGGCCAGGAATAGACAGAGACATCGCCAACACTGTCGCCGCATGCGTGAGCTGCCGACAGCTGACACCGAGTCACTGCAATGAGCCACTCTGGCAAGAAGAAGAAGAAGGAGCTCCGACTCGGGTGTTCGAGTCAGTGTCGGCCGATTACTTCCATGTGGCCGGTCGGACATACCTCATTTACGCTGATCGGCTGTCCGGCTGGCCGTATTTGGCGGTTTGTCCGCGAGCGGCATCGGCGGACCACCTAACAAGACAGCTGCAAACCATGTTCGCCGTGACTGGTGTGCCAGTTGTGCTCCGGACAGACGGCGGGCCACAGTTCGCCTCCTCTACGCTGCGCCGTTTCCTGGAGAGGTGGGGCGTTCGGCATGAAATGTCGTCACCAAGATATCCCCGCTCTAACGGGCATGCGGAGGCGGCCGTGAAAACTGTCAAGAAGCTGGTGGTGGCCGCGTCATCCAGCGGTCGGCTCGATGACGAACAGCTCGACAGAGGCCTTCTGGAGCTGCGCAACGCTCCGCGCGCCGATGGTCGATCCCCGGCGCAGGTCGTGTTTGGCCATCCGCTGCGATCGGGCTCGGTGCCGATGCACCCCCGTGCCTATGCCGCCATCTGGCAGCGGGCCGCCGATGAGTGTGACGAGAAGGCTGCTGAGGTCGCAGAGGACGTCAGAGACCGGCACGACTCACGAGCGCGTCCGCTCTCCAGTCTACGGATCGGCTGCAAGGTGGACATCCAGAACACCGATACCAGGCGTTGGGATCGCACCGGCGTCATCGTGGGCATCGGTCGGCGGCGGTCGTACCTGGTGAAGCTGCCCAGTGGGCGCATATGGTGGCGGAACAGGAGGTTCCTCCGGCCGCTGCGCTCCATGCTGGTCAGCACGGAGCCGTCCTCACCGCGGCTAGCCGGCCCAGCCCAACCAGTCAGCCACGAACGACTGATCAGCCCATCCGAGCTGGAGGTGACCCCCGCGTCGCCGCCGCCATCTCCGCCGATGACGTCGCCGCCGTTGCCGATCCTTCGCCGCAGTGGCCGGGACCGGCGACCGCCATCCAGACTCACTGTCCGTTGGGGAGGGTGCTCCTACAATAGTGTACTCAGTGAATCTGTAGAACTCGTTCGGTTTGTTCGCTGTTGTTTTTGGTGTTTGTTCGCTGTTGTTTTTGGTTGTTTCGTTTGGTCAGTTATACACAACTTGGTGTATGTATAACTAAGGGGGAGGTGTTATGTTCTGGTCACCGCGCATGCGTGCCGCGTGGCGGACGATACTAGCGCCACTGGTGGTGACACGGTAATAAGGGTCAGTCGTTCTTGTGAGCTCGCGAGAGGTGGTGTGTCATTGCCGGCCAATACACTCCGTAACCGAACAGTGATCGGTGAACAGGTCAAGGAAAGCCCAAAAGCGGTGCCAGGAGAGTGTGACAGGTATCTGTCGCAAGATCACATGTCAGGCAACTCATGGGATCCAAATTTCATGAAAATACGTTGGGGATACTGAAATCGTGGCTCGTCGAAGCGAAGCGCTGTTCCAGCCTCCAGGAGCTCACGGCGAATGTCAAGTCAGTATGGGTTAACTTCAAGCCTGCTACACTGCCAAACATGCCGGTGGGCATGCCAAAGCATGTACGAGCTCGTATTCATGTGTTTGCCCATGAAATGAGGAGCACACTGACGTGTCATAAACATATCAAAAACGCAATTTACTCCATTTTACATGCGAATATAATGTGAGAACGAACTTATGGGACACCCTGTAGATACCTGTCTGAAACTGATGCAATCAATCCATTTCATGCTTTGCATCACTTGTACCTAATGCATACACTCTTAGACGTCCTGAATAAACGAAAAAGTTTAAGTTAGGACACCTATGTACCCCATTATAGTTGAGGTCACGAACGGTCACCAGAGGTAAAAAAGGTCAATGACCTTCCTCTGACTCCCTTTTACCTTGATAAGGTCACTCATGCTCCGAAATAGCCAGCGAAGTTTTTGTTGTGATTGATATTTCCCAATAACACGCGATAACCTGCGATTTTACGCACTTCTGGCCTGAGGCTGTACCCCTTATAACGTCATAGCTCTGTGACGGTCAATTTTGGTGATAATTTTCATATCACACGACAGGTGATGATAGGAGGCTGAAATTTGGGCAACAGACGTTCAACTTGATCCATCCAAGTGAAGACGGACCTTTTGACGCATCGCAAAATTTGGAGTAAAGTCAATTTACTGACATCTGACGTTTGACCTTGGAGAGCAAGGGACTACCCACACAACGGCAAGTGACCTAATCAAGGGTAAATTGTCATGGAATCGTCACGTTTTTGCTAACGAAGTTCAAAGTTTTTAACATAATTTATTCCTGGATCTCGTATGAAATCAAATCCAAGTAGATAGACGTACGACCAATGCTCTAAGACGTCGTCGACGTCGAAAGCTATGTGACATGTCGAAAGCTACTCAATGAAATTATTTATAGTAGCTTTCGAAGTCACATTTCGTCATTGAATCACCATTCTTCAGATTTCTGCCATTGAAACTATTATTTTGTTGTGTTGACTCTTAAGCAATTATTATTTTTGTTTTTGACTTTTTGTATTTGACTTTTATCCTTTTGACTTTTAGCGTCTTTAACTTTTTCCGTTTGACTTTCTGCTTTTGACTTTCAGACATTTGACTTTTATATTCTTTGACTTATAGCCTATTTGACTTTTTTACATTTGACTTTTAACTTATTTGACTTTTTACCATTTGACTTTTATCTTTTTGACTTTTTGCGGTTTTGACTTTTTGCTTTTGACTTTTTGCATTTTTGACTTTTTGCTTATTTTACTTTTTACTTTTTGACTTTTTGTCTTTTGGCTTTTAGCGGATTTGACTTTTTGTCATTTGACTTTTATCTTTTTGACTTTTTGTCTTTTGACTTTTTGTCTTTTGACTTTTTGTCATGTAATCCAGGAAGGCATCTGGCGGCAAGATAAGGGATTTGGTTGGAAATGGTAGAAAGTTTAACCCACGAGCCGCTGGGGGGGGCATAAAGTTGCCCCCCCCTTTACGTTTTGTAAAATATCTCCGAAACCTGATGAGCTACGAACGTGAAACTTGGCATAGCTTCAAATGAATACCTAGGCAATGTTTGAGGAAAGTTTGGTGGTTGTAGCACCTAAGATGACGTCACAGTGACGTCATTAAGTTTTGCCGTTTTCCGATATGGACCGTTTTTGATGACGCTGAGCATAAAACTCAACTGTAAATGAACTAGACAGCACCTGCTGTCATCCTAAAACATCTAACTACACTTCCATCTAGTTTCTGGCCAATAATTGACCCTTTATATTCGGTCCCATGTATCTGATGTATCGTGAGGAATATGAGAGTCGCAAATCTATAATTTCACTTATGACGTCACTGTGACGTCACTTCAAATGGGATCGACACCAAATTTGGACACAACCTCGGCTAGGTATTCAGAAAGATGTGTGCAAAGTTTCGCTTCTCTATCTCTTCGCGTTGCGACGATATCGTCGCAGAAGTAAAGGGGGGCAACTATATGCCCCCCCCCCCCCCAGCGGCCGGCGGGTGGCGCGGAGGCCCAGCGGCCGCCGGGTTAACCAGAATGAAGTAGCTACCAGCCGTAAGGGCTGTGTTGCAAAGAGGAATTTTGATATACGAACAGCTGATGATCGAAAAAGAAAGAGCGAGAAAGAAGATCGGTGTGAGAGAGACCGTGAAGGAGCTGGTTCCGCTTATCCTGGCGCAGTGACTGAAATCCAATGCAAGATTCAGTCCTCCAGTCCAGTGATCATCTAGGAGAAGAGTCTCACGGTAGAAGTGGAGAAGCTTGGGAGAAGAGTCGAAGAAGTTGCGCTTGGAAGGGCAAAACAAACTGGGAGGAAAAGGTTATGCAAATGCTGAACAATCTGCGTAATATCACCACCTGTCCTCATTCCATCCTGTTTTGTGATAAGCCAAATAAAGAGTGTATCAAATACCTAAGGTGATATGAGTTTTTCGTCAATAACTCCCGATCAAATTGAGTTAGCGAGTCGCAAAAGTCACGAATGGACCCAGGAAGACCTGCCGAATCAAATGATATGCGGCATAACCTTTTTTGATCAAGGTCGTGACCTAAGGGGACCTGACCTGACCTTGACCCGAGGTCAACACCCTAACTTGCTCTCACCCGAACAAAAAGTATACCATTCGACGCGCCTGATATAGCAAAACACGATGCTGACAAAATCGTGGATCTGCGACCATTTTGAGCGAAGTTATTCACCAAAAACCGAACAGGTCTTGCGCCTCTTTACCTGACCTCAGAGGTCACCAGTTAATCTCAGGCCTTAAAATCGGATACCTATCGCTGCGTCTTGTAACGGCGCACACGCTCGTTCTTTCCCCAAGACTCTAGCTCAATTAGGGGCGAAACGGCGATGGGGGTCGTACCAACCTCTCATTCTCGGCCGGGGCGCATATAGAAAACCAATAGGTCCGGCGAGGGTGCAAATGTGCAAATTTACTACGAAAGGAGTGTTTTTATCAAAAAATTGCAAGAGGACATCCCACATTAAAATTCAATTTTACATCGGAAAAAGGTGAGCCGAACTGAAATTGCAAATTCGAAAATCTTGGTCATCCCTAAATTGGTAGTCACCCCCGGCAAAGTCAAGGCAAAGTCACCCCCGTTTCCGGTATATAAGATAACTACAAACGCTTTTGTGCAAGGAATAAATCGAGGCTTATGAAAATCGTGAGTAGGGTTGGGAAAAGCAGAAAAAGGATCACGTGACTCGCGTCCCAACCTGATCTGTAAGAATCTTAGGTGGGCTGACCAACCAACTCTTTTGCTGGCGGGCTAAACAACATATTCACTGACCCATTGTGAATGCATTGGCTCTTCGCCCTAATCTGACGTCGATGTTCATTGAAATTCGTTGGTAAACGAAACATAAAACGATCATGTGGTTGCGTCACAGTGCTACTGTCAGGTTCAGGCTAAACTAGAACACACGTGGCCCAGTCGGCAGTCAGTTTCGCAGCACCAACACAGACGCGGTACAAGCACAACGGCGCTGGTCGGCGCAGGCGAACAAAATTGGCCTTCACAGTCACTAACAGCAGAAAGCCGAGATCGAACTCCACCAGCTGCGTCCGAGTTCTCCCCATGAACACGCACTTTGTCAGACATTCGTAGATGGGGTTGGGCCCAGCGGGCCATGCGGCTGGCCCCCCGCGGCCGACGGCTGCGCGGCGGCGGCCGGCGCGGCGTGCCGTTTGTACCGGCGCGGGCGCGGCCGGGCTGCCGCGCCGCCCTCCTCTCACTAGCCATGGGTATGTACGTGGACGTGCCGGCGGCGGCGCTGGCCCACCGACGCTCACTCTCCCTTGAGTCTGTGCCACTGTACCACCGTCTGACGCGGCTTGGAGATCATGTCCTGCCAGTGTTTGACTTCTGGCTGACCGGTGCCGCCTTTCCCTGACAACAGAGGCAGTTACAGGTACGGTTATATAGTTGAACAAACGGTGAGAAGGGCACAATGTTACCCCGCACCGCACTGTGGGTTCAGTCCAGCGTGACCTGCACGGGGAGAGGAGGGGAGATTCAGTCGAACGAGCCCTGCAGAATGGGGATTCAATCGAGCGTACCCTACAAGGGGGGGGGGGGAGGAAATCGATGACGTCAGATGTGGACACCTATGAACAGTTACCAAAGGATCCTACGCCTTCTTATACCCGTAAAGTAGGCGATGCTCGGAAATCTGTAGAAAGGAAAGGTCACCTATCCAAGAATGAGTACACCGCTCTTCTATGGGCTACCAAAAGTTCATAAACCGGCTGTTCCTAGTTCCTACTATGGGAACGGTCGTCAAGTTAGATGTAAGTGAATCCTAATCTATAATCTAAGATTCGGAATCAGGTGAGCCCCTACGATTTGGACCAAACTTGGTCAGTAGATAGTACGTAACGTCCTGATTACGATGCACCCAAAATCTAAGCTCGGCCCGCCATATTTACGAAGTTACGAATGTTTGAATTTCAAGGTCATTCGGGAGAGCCCCTACGATTTCCGTCAAAATTTGTGTACGGACACTCTAGATGCTCCTCATTACGAATATCACAAAATTTAAGCTCGGCCCGCCATATTTACGAAGTTACGGAGGTTTGAATTTCAAGGTCATTTGGGTGAGCCCCTGCGATTTCCGTCAAAATTGGTATACGGACATATTACATCCTCCTCATTACAAATATCATAAAAGTTAAGCTCGGCCCGCCATATTTTTCAAGTTACGGAGTCACAAAGTTACGGAATTTCAAGGTCATTCGGAGAGCCCCTCCGATTTTCGTCAAAATTTGTATGCGGACACATTACATGCTCCTCATTACGAATATCGTAAAAGCTAAGCTCGGCCCGCACTATTTCAAAAGTTACTGACGTTTGAAACTCACTGAAATTCAAACATCTCTAACTTTTGAAATAGTGCGGGCCGAGCTTAGCTTTTACGATATTCGTAATGAGGAGCATGTAATGTGTCCGCATACAAATTTTGACGAAAATCGGAGGGGCTCTCCGAATGACCTTGAAATTCCGTAACTTTGTGACTCCGTAACTTGAAAAATATGGCGGGCCGAGCTTAACTTTTATGATATTTGTAATGAGGAGGATGTAATATGTCCGTATACCAATTTTGACGGAAATCGCAGGGGCTCACCCAAATGACCTTGAAATTCAAACCTCCGTAACTTCGTAAATATGGCGGGCCGAGCTTAAATTTTGTGATATTCGTGATGAGGAGCATCTAGAGTGTCCGTACACAAATTTTGACGGAAATCGTAGGGGCTCTCCCGAATGACCTTGAAATTCAAACATCCGTAACTTCGTAAATATGGCGGGCCGAGCTTAGATTTTGGGTGCATCGTAATCAGGACGTTACGTTCTATCTACTGACCAAGTTTGGTCCAAATCGTAGGGGCTCACCTGATTCCGAATCTTAGATTATAGATTAGGATTCGCTTACATCTAACTTGACGACCGTACTATGGGACCTATAGTCTCCATGATCGGTCAGCAACTTACCCTTTAGCGAAACACCTATCCCGTATTCTGGCCCCGCTGGTAGGGAAAGCCTCCTCTCACGCAAAAGATTCGAAGCAGTTTAAGTTTGCGCAGTCTCTGAACTTGAACGAGGATGACAACATGGTCTTATTCGATGTCACTTCGCTATGCACCTCGGTCCCAACTGATGTGGATTGTGATGTGGCAAAGAAAGAGGCTGAGGAAGGGCAGGGTGACAGTGATGTTCTGGCACACACTGACATGGATGACAACGATATTGTCATGCTACTTCGTCTGTGCTTGGATCTGTGGTTGTACTTTAAAAGAGTAAATGACGCTTTTTACAAAGAGAAAAAGGGCCCAGCGATGGGCAGCCCGGTTATTGTTGTAGTGGCAAATCTGTTAATGGAAGAGCTGGAGAAGAAAGCTCTGGGGTCTTGCTCATCCACTTAACCCGCGCCGGGCCGGTGCTCTGAGATTCCGCGCCGGGCCGGGGGGGGGGGGTGTCTGAACACCCCCTCGTTCTCGGCTCTAACTCGGCTCCGAGGCCACGTAGTGACACGCGGTAAGCGGCACTCGAAAGAACGTCCAAAATAAGGACGAAAACACTCGGTCATTTTTTGGGTCAGGTCAAAGGTCAGGTCACCAGAGGTCACCAAAGGTAAAATGTTGACTATTTCAACATTTTGGAAACTGCCGACAGCTATCTCGGGAACCGATAGAGCTACAGCGCCGCGGAAAAGCGCATTCGATAGCCCTTTTACAGACCTTTCTGAGTAATGTTCTCAGATTTGACCTCAGGTCAACGGTTTAGCCTCCAGAGGGCAAAAGCTAAAAAATAACCGTTTTTACGAAAAACGTTTTTTTCGGCAAAAACTTTTGACTCAAAAGAGCCATGACATTACTTTTGCCAGCATCGTGTACGTGTTCCTCTCGTCGATACGCGTCGAATGAGCTATAATTTGACCTAGAAAGGTCAACTCGAAAATTTGACCTCAGGTCAAGGTCATGACCTGACCGGAAAAGGTCATGTTGCATATCAGTCGATCCGCAACGTCGAGCTGAACACATAAAAGGCGTTTTCAGCGCTTTAGCATGCCTCTGGGGCATTCCACGATAGATCGCACCAGGCCCGTCACCCTCATCTCTCAGATTTTAATGAAAATCGGTCCTAGGGGTAATCATAGGCCCCAAAGACGCCTGGCAAAATATCACACTTCTCAGATCAAAACTTTTTGCGTTATATTGCATTACATTTTTTTTAACTTCGGTTTGTAACGGTGAGTTTGATGGCCTACAACTCAAGAACGGGTTAGGCAACCAACAAACGGTAAACAACACTTAAGCTTGCGATGTGAGCAAAAATTAATATTACTTTTTTAAAATTCCAAAGAAAAATTTTCATTGTTGAACAAAAACCTTAATCTTGTTTCATTTGCCTCTATTGACTTTTGGGACCAAAATTTTACACATTTTTATTTTTTCAAAAAAAAACCTTCAAGTCCTTGCAAATCGACATCCAAAAAATTAGAAAGGTGTTCTTTCTATAAGTTCCTCATTTTCCCGCAAACAAAGTGGGTTTCGGAGGGGTTGATACGACCCCAACACGCCGCTTCGCTTCTAATAGAGCTAGAGCCTCGCAGAAAAAACGAGCGTGTGTGCCGTTACAAGTTGCAGCATTTGGTACCCGATTTTAAAGGGACCCTCCCACCTTAACATTAGTTTTGAGTTGAGATAGCCAAGTTTGCGGCCAGGCTCAGAAACCACCATTTATCCTGGTCGCAATACCCGCAGCTTTATGGTGTTCAAGAAATTTCTTCCCTTTACTTGCAGCGTGGGACCAGCGTGGTCCCTATCTCTTAACCATTACGGGAATCTGATGACGTCATCAGGCTTTCGAACGTCCGTTAAATGTTTGACTAAAACGTTTTGTAGCACGCGGTGGTATATGCTGCTTTGCGCGCAACAAATGCCGCACTTTCAAATAAAGTCGCTGGGAACAGCGGAGATCCCAAAAAGTAAATAAAAGTAAAAGTCTAATATCTTGAAAACAGGTGAATATTTTTCGATGAAATTTGGTAGATATTCGTTTTTGCTCTTTCTGAACCGAGCGACATCACTTTAATGCCAATTCATTAACTTTTTGAAGGTGGGAGGGTCCCTTTAAGGTCACAAGTTAACTGGTAGCGTCTGAGGTCAGGTCAAGTGACTGAAGTTACGGGTTCGATTTTAAGTAAATGACTTCGCAAAAAATAACCGCAGAGCCGCGATTTTAGCATCATTGTGTTCGCTTAGCTCAGGTGCGTCGAATGGTATACTTTTTGTTAGGGTGACGTCAAGTTAAGTAGTTGACCTCGGGTCAAGGTCAAGTCAGAGCCCCTCAGGTCACGAAGCTGGGCAAAGGGTATCATATGGCATATCATTCGATTTGGAAGGTCTTCCCGAGTCCATTGGTGGCTTTCCCGACTCTCTAGCTCAATTTGATCGGGAGTTATTGACGAAAAACTCGTATCACCCTAGTGACGTCATAAATGACGTCACGCAAGGTTAACAATTCAAAAGTGAAGCATTGGACTTTGCCAGGAATGCATGAAATCACGATACCATGCACGTGAGATAGTTATAGATCATTCTCGGCGCCAAAATAACAGTATTTATATTTCCACATTGACTTTTAACAGTGATGTCACGTGACCGACCTGACCTCATGTGACCTTAAAAAATTCCCAGATATACAAGTAGCGAGACCTCTGTAGGACACCATGTATGCGTCCTGTAACTTTCATCTCGGACAGCTATGGTCATTGGCGTCCAAAACAACGTCAGAACCAAACAGCCTTTTTCACTCTCTCGCTTATAGGAAAGAGGGTTGGATGAACCCTCTTTTCATGTTTTCAGATGACTCAGACTTCAATTGAAATTTCAGTAGCCCGTGATGTCACTAGGCAACTTTACCACGCCGTTTGTAAGCTCCCCTCCCGAAATCACTATTCGAAACCGTTATCGTGACGTAAAATATATACATTTATAGAAAGAACACCTTCCTAATTTTTGCATGCTTCTTAAATATGAGTCAACTATTTTTTAAAGAAATAAAAATTCAAAAACATTTGGTCTCAAGGTCCAAAAAATGCAAATGAAAGAAAACTCCATATATCATATATCAAAAATAGCGTATTTTTCGATATTTCAAAAGTGCATATTAATCTCTGGTTCATTGCAAGTTCAATGTTATATAAAATTTGGCATTTGAATAATCAGTCTTAGAGTTATAGACCGCCAAACTTAGCGCTGCAAAGCAAGATCCAAAAAATGTTATACACCATAGCTCAAAAATACTTATCTGATAAGCCTGAAATTGTTACAGGTGGATTCAGAGCCCCTGATTACCCCTGAGACCAATTCTCGTCAAATTCCGAGAG